GGAATTTTCCTAATTTTAGTTGATATTCTATTTGCAACTATATCTTTGTTATTATTATTATTATTATTATTATTATTATTATTATTATTAAAGCATCTTTAATGAACTGTGGTGATTCCATTGTGATCTTACTTTGCAAATCGACATTATTTAAAAAACACTAATATTGTTACTGACTACTAATCTAGAATATTCTATGTATATAAATAAACATGCATATATATATAACTGTAGAGCGAGAAGAGGAGGAAGTTATCGAAAAGGATATTCTTTTCTGGCTCATTTATTTTGTATTTTATAGAAATAGGTTTAACAGTTTTGCAGTTGTACGGAATTTAGATATTTATAATGTTTTGAAGTATGTGAAGAGAAAGTTTGGCATAGAATATATACTAGCTTTACCATGATTGGTTGTTCAGTGTCACTTGGCAAATGCTGCATTTTATAGTCGATTTGTGCAAACTTCAACAAGATAGCAGACCCGGTGTACAGACTATTAGATGATGAGTTGAAGTTTGTGTGGTCGGAAGATTCGCAGAAGACATTTGACAGTAGTAAACGTCTGTTAAACGACAGGAAAATGACGCTAAGACTGCCTGTATCGGGAAAACAGTTCACAGTGTACACAGATGCAAGTGACTATGGGAAAGGCGTAGTGTGGTGAAAGATGGTCGCTAGCCAAATTGGTTGACAGTAATTGAGGTCAAAGGTCAAGGTTGTCAGGCGGATACAGTTAACATGTAGTTGAACTGACACAGCCACAAGATATGCAAGGTTAACCTTGCGAGAGAAACAACCAATCAACAGGCTGTATTTTCTACTAACATTGACCTACAATAATGTACATAAAAATCTATAAATACGTGTTGATTTTCCTAAATAAACGATCTGTTGCCTGGCCCTTGTCTTCTGTTGTTACATTTGGTGTCGCTGACTACCGACAAATGGAAAGCCTATGCCCTGCAGTTTTTGATGGAGACATATGGATCTTCGGGCAGGACTTCGAGGCTTCTTCGCAGTTGAGTGGCGTTCAAGATCTGTCAGCGACGAGGCTGCTACTTGGGACGCTGCTGGGAGGTCGGGAGAATGCAGCATATGGAAGTGTGAGGCGAAATACCTACGAATGTGTGACAGGGTCAGGCAAACAGTTTCCAAAGTGGGAAGGACCATATATGGTCACGTTGAGATGGGGTTACGCAGACACAATCGCAATGGTAAACACAGAGAAACAAGTGAACATCCGCAAGCGCCAAGATTTCAGACAGCAAGACAAAAGAGAAAAGCCCCAAGAACCGAGAAGACCGAAGCAACTTCAGTCGCAAGTCTTTGACGGGGGGACGAGTGTGGTGAAAGATGGTCGCTAGCCAAATTGGTTGACAGTAATTGAGGTCAAAGGTCAAGGTTGTCAGGCGGATACAGTTAACATGTAGTTGAACTGACACAGCCACAAGATATGCAAGGTTAACCTTGCGAGAGAAACAACCAATCAACAGGCTGTATTTTCTACTAACACTGACCTACAATAATGTACATAAAAATCCATAAATACGTGTTGATTTTCCTAAATAAACGATCTGTTGCCTGGCCCTTGTCTTCTGTTGTTACAGTAGTACTTGGACAGGGTGAAGCAGTTGTCGAATATGTCAGTGGTATTTTAACACACAGAGCAAAAGTATTCAACGATAGAGAAAGAATGTTTAGCAATAGTATGTATGGGCGGTAGACAAATGCAGACCGTTATAAGGATGAAACTCGGGCACTGATATGATTATGAGGAATAAATTGTGCTCGAAACGTCATCAGTATATATTACTGTATAACACTGTGTGACTTTATCAAAATGAAATTTTATCCATAGTGAAATGGAGACCGTATTGACTCGGCCAACAGTTGCACATCTAAAGTGATCACAAGTCGCTAGATTTTCTGAGGATGGCGGAAGGCCCACGTGGGGACTTGTCCAGGTGGATGTTGAGCCTGCGAAATTATGACTTCATCATCTCATACGTCCCCAGCAACGGAACTTGTTTGGCCGATTTCTTATCTAGACGAGATGACGAAGCTGAGTTACCGGAGATTGCTTATGGAGTGGATGCATTGTAACAAGATGCATTCAGACATGCTATCAGTCACAAGTCGGACACTACCCTGAATACAGTAATACGGGAGATCACTAACGGAATAGAAGTGAATCAACTTCTACGTCGAGTAAGGATCCGGCTATACTACTGAGACAGAGGGATCGATTAAGAGTGAACATTCACAGAACTGTAACTTGGCGAGAGAACGATGGAAGCTGGTTGGCGATAATACCTCAGTCTCCACGCCATGAGGTGATACAAGAATGTCACCAGCCAGCAGATATAGAAGTAGCCAGAACAACTGACCTCTTGAGACAAAGCATGTACTGGCCAGATGTGATAGAAGATGTGGGGAAATATGTACTTGAATGTCCGCAGTGCCAGTTGATGAAGGAAGATCGGTGCACACGACCGCCTCTGTAGTCGATTCCATTCACGGCAGTAGGCGACTTCTGGTGTGTAGACGTAGTGGGTCCGTTTCCGCAGGCACCCAGTGGCAATCAGTACCTCCTGGTGATGGAGCAACACGCTACACGATGGGTAAACGCCACCGTGATCCGAGGTGAACGCGCGAGAACTGTGACTGATGCAGTAGTTGGACACATCGTTGCAGACCACGGTGTACCAAAGACGATACTGACTGGCAGGTAGATCAGTGTCCTTGTTTTGAAAGCCAAGCGCATATACATCCCGTTTGTAACAACTGACTATCAAGATGACCAGAACAAGACCATATCATCATTCAGAAACGAATGGTTTGACAGAGAGAAATAACCGTACACTGAAGGAGTGGTTGACCTCGAAGAGTGGTAACTGGGAGTCGGATCTTCCTTCCATTGATTTTACTAGCACGTCGTGCTTCTATCCAACCAGGAACCAACAAAGAAGTCACCATTTGATTTGATGTTTTGTAGGAATGCAAGACTGCCAATACACAGTACTACCTGTTTCGTTCACCAGGAGTGGAATATGATGAGGTGGTTGCGAACGGAACGGAAAGAAGCCGTCAGGAATGTAAAGCGTAAAGAGAAGATAGACGCCGCGAAATCTGAGCTGGGAGAAAAGATGGGATGCATAAGCCTTAAGGTCGGCGATGAAGTAAAGTGTGTAGAGGAAGAAAGTATACAGTTGGATGCAGACCATGTTCATGGAAACTCCTTCCGAAGTGGAAAGGGCCATATACTGTCACTGAGAGCCGTGGTCCCGCTGATACAAACGAGAGGTGAAATAAGTGGATATGATTCTAACTTGTCTTTACTGGCTGGCTATTGTATGCTTAAGTTAATGGATTTATAATTGTAGAGCCTGAAGAATTTATTGAAACCACAATTGTTCTCTAAATTCCTGCTTAAAGTGTTCTTTCCACCATCCGAGTCGTCTATCTTGGGAGCTAATTATGGTGCCATTTTCGTCATAGATTGTTCCACTTATGATTTGCCTTTAGCCACCTGCTTCTGTGATAAGTCTAAATTGTTGTCTTGCGCTACAAATCGCCGAAGCCTTTTCCATCTCCTTCCGTCGCTTTTGTTGAGCACGACTGTTCACGGTCGTTGCGAAAACTTCTTGTTAGTTTGTGCTTGAGCAGCAGCTTTTGCTCCTCATCATATTTGGAGCTCGTCGGAATGAATGTTTCTGTGTCAGTCAGTCAGTAAGTCAGTTCGGATGAGGTGGTAGAAATCCAATGGGTCTTACTGACCTTGGGTTTTAGGTTATTGTCAGCTTTGACATCTGTGTGTACAGCTAACTAACTATATGTTGTTCCAGGCTTCGTCAGGAGGAGTCCTGCTGTCGACCTCGGGTACTCTTTTCGCTATCCGTATTACTTAAATAGGGACTCAGTGTCTCGATCTAGTTGAAGACGTAACTGTTTCTCTGCCAACAATTTTTTATGTCCGTTTAACCGCATAAACGTGCGCGAACCATGGCAGGGCGTGATGAGAGTCTGCGCACATGTTCCAGAGGGAGTGGCAGTCTTCTACCGACCCTCTCCAACGATACCTTATCGCTATGTGGTCTATTTGAGTCCAATGTTGATTTGGTGATGGAGGTCACCAGGTTAGACAATGTGTCTCTGTTTGTGCCTAGAGTTGTTGGTGACTGGGAACAAACAGATGACTATCTGAGGAGAACTGTAGAAGACAATCACCGCCGTTGTTGGTTCGTCGGTAGTGAACTCCGTATGTACCACCTATATACTTCTCAGTCTGGCATAACTTCCCTACTTGGGTGGGCATTGAAGTTGCCTGCTAAAACAACTATATCTGAACGTCGTTTTGCTTTCTGCAGCACATTGGACAGTTTCCCGTCGAAGTGATCCTTAAGTTCATCCGAGGAATGTTAGCTGACTGAAGTAGAGTTGGAGTTGGAAAGGAGTTAATCAGACCAGGTGAAAACGTGGAATCAAGCACTGAAGTCCTTGAGAGTTGTTTTGAGCCACATAGGGGGTAGGTGTAGGTGTAGTTGTGAGCGTAGGCTGGCTGGCTGGCTGGTTGGTTGGGGTGTTTGGAGACTATTGGTGATTTGACTGGAAATCGTGGTGAGTGGCACAGATGCACAGGCACTCTTAGTGATTTGATGTCCCGACGCGCAGATTAAACCCCTAGTTACTCCATGTTCCTCCCTTGTCTTTCTCCCGTACATTTCTGCTTTTGAGAGTCTTTTCTCTGTCTAGGTTAGGTTGTCTATTTTTGTATACTACGTGGAGTTTGTCAACTTGAACCGCTCCACTTCTGTGCAAAGTTTTGTGTTGAAACTCATTGACTGGCAATCAGCTCTTTCGTATAAGTTTTCATCTTGTGCGCAACTGCACTACTCTACTTAGATGATATTCTAATCCTTTTCGTTATTTCCATGCGAATTCAGTTGTGTGATGTATGTTTTTGTGCTTTCTTTGATTGTGATTGCTTTTTCTCCGTATAGGTGGGCCTGTCAAATAGTGAAGAGAACAGGAAGCGGAGACGAAAGCCGAAAGATTTCGGCGCAGACTGGATTATACCGGGGAATCCCAGAAAACGCGTCAAGTCAGACTGTATCAGAGTCAATGATAATAATGATCTGGCAGGAAGACTGAAAGGTGATGAAATTGTAAGTTCTGGTTTGTTTCCCTTTTTCCGCCGCTGTACATATCACGAAGTTTTACGCAACCAACCGGTGATGAGTAGGGTGGGTGAAATCAGATTGAAGATAGATAATATGTTTGTTTTATCGAATGAATGTGTTCTGAAGATTCATTCGCAGGTAGGATAATATTATAATCCTAGAGAGGATGGATGGATGAGGTTAATTACTGGGTAGTGAGTGTATGTAGAGGTGAAGATTATCCGGACTTAAAAGTGTGTAATTTGATGGATGGCACTTGAATGTTTTTGGTACGGGAGTTGCCAACGGGATGTACCTGCAATAATCTCCTGTGAGTGGTTGTGTGTGGTGTTGTCATTGTGACTGTACCGAGTACTCTTTGTTTGAAATGCTTAAGCTTAAATGTGTTATTAGGGATTGGAAAACATCCATTCAGATAACCACTGTAAGTGACGGCATCATAATGTCCTCCATTTGTGAATCAGAATGCATTATTCTTGAGCAGATATTATTTCTGAGCTTCAACTAGTGGTGGTAGTTGAATAGCTCAAGATCTTCAGAACGTCCTTATAGTGTGAAGGTGTGAGCCTGCTCAGGGTTATTATAATTAAGAAAGGTTTGTTCAACTATCTAGAAAGACCTAAATAGCCTGTAGAATGAGGCCATTGAAACTATCTGAAACCGTCGAACCTTTTTTCACAACGCTGAGAACTTGAGATGGTCACAAGCATATTGGAAATAGCGGTAAAACACTGCTTTGTCTAGTGCTGCGGTTAACTAGAAATAGATTTCAATATAGCAAAAATATTCATTCAGACATCTATGAAACACGAAATAATCGAGCAAAGAATATTCGCTTCGATAAATTCCTCTTCCGGCTCTACAAATATATCTGCATGTTTATATACACAGAATATTCTAAATTAGTAGTCAGTAACAGTATAAGAGTGCTTTTTAAATAATGTCGATTTGTAAAGTAAGATCACAATGGAATCACCACAGTTGATTAAAGATGCTTAAATAATAATAATAATAATAACTATTATTATTATTATAACAAAGATGTAGTAGCAAATAGAATATCAACTAAAATTCAGGATCATTCAAACCTGGATAGCCAAGCGGTAAGGATAATGTCTGAACCAACCAACTTCTTTTGGATGCACAAATTAGGCCTGTTATTCTGGATCCATTGGCCAGCCTCGGGAATATTTAGCAGTGGAACTCTTAAGGCGAAATTGAGGTTCGTAGGTATGCGGTAAATTACCCTGAAAGCATGGTTAACATCAATCAGTCTTGTGTTCTGTATCCACAAGATGAGATAGAATAGCGCTGCGAATAGATTTTGTTTGTCCTTTGCTTAACCACTCACTATGGAGGGTGATGTTCTGAGATTCGACGAGAAACACGCCTAATTGTACAGCCTATGTAACTGGCCTGTGGAGGCAGTGGAATTTTCCTAATTTTAGTTGATATTCTATTTGCAACTATATCTTTGTTATTATTATTATTATTATTATTATTATTAAAGCATCTTTAATGAACTGTGGTGATTCCATTGTGATCTTACTTTGCAAATCGACATTATTTAAAAAACACTAATATTGTTACTGACTACTAATCTAGAATATTCTATGTATATAAATAAACATGCATATATATATAACTGTAGAGCGAGAAGAGGAGGAAGTTATCGAAAAGGATATTCTTTTCTGGCTCATTTATTTTGTATTTTATAGAAATAGGTTTAACAGTTTTGCAGTTGTACGGAATTTAGATATTTATAATGTTTTGAAGTATGTGAAGAGAAAGTTTGGCATAGAATATATACTAGCTTTACCATGATTGGTTGTTCAGTGTCACTTGGCAAATGCTTACTCGTGGAGACTATCGAAGCTGTCTGAAGTTGTAATGATGATCCCTGGGTACTGACGTTTGCATCTTCTTCGTCTCTTTCCTTTTTTCAGGTCAGACCTAATGACATTAATGAAGAGACAGCAAGGCAACTCCCCCCCACAGATGAAATTGTAAGTTCTGGTTTGTTTCCCTTTTTCCGCCGCTGTACATATCACGAAGTTTTACGCAACCAACCGGTGATGAGTAGGGTGGGTGAAATCAGATTGAAGATAGATAATATGTTTGTTTTATCGAATGAATGTGTTCTGAAGATTCATTCGCAGGTAGGATAATATTATAATCCTAGAGAGGATGGATGGATGAGGTTAATTACTGGGTAGTGAGTGTGTGTAGAGGTGAAGATTATCCGGACTTAAAAGTGTGTAATTTGATGGATGGCACTTGAATGTTTTTGGTACGGGAGTTGCCAACGGGATGTACCTGCAATAATCTCCTGTGAGTGGTTGTGTGTGGTGTTGTCATTGTGACTGGTACCGAGTACTCTTTGTTTGAAATGCTTAAGCTTAAATGTGTTATTAGGGAGTAAATACTGACTGATTTGATTGTTTTCAATCGATTCAACTACTCGTGAAATCGTGGAGGTGATATTTATGGGTGTGAGGTAGAGAGACATTTAAATTGAGGAGACTTTGCAGGATGGTATTAGAGAAAAAGAAGCTGACAGCCCGTATAACTATCCAGTTGTTTTAGTGAACAAAGGAGATGGGAATTAGAGACCCTTCATTTATATACATGTGTGGAATTCAGGATTAGACATTTGAATACAAATCAGTAATATAGGATAATTTACATTCAGAAATAATAATAATATGAGTGTTATCAATCAAGTACAATCAGATGGGAAATAAGAGGAGTGTTTTTATAGTCAAAATAAGTAACTTGTTAGAATGCTGTGATGAAGTTCAATTGAATTAGAATTTTAAGATCATTTATTATCCTGCTCTGATTTGACTGACTGGTGGTAATGATGTCTTCCATATTTGTTTTGTTAAAAAAAGTTCTAAAAAGTAATCTATGTAGGTGGATAGAGAGAAAGAGGTTGGGTGTAGACTCGACGAACCAGGCAGGATTCACTAATAGATCTCTCTCTCCACTTACCTAGATTACTTTTTAGAATTCCAACCCTCTCACACCATGCCATTGTATGGTTGTGTTAATGCATGCAGTGCAATGTAGTACTGAACTTTTTCCTAAATTACTTGTCTTCTCGGGTGGGGTCAACCATTCTTCCCTTAGCTAAATTCTTATGTTCCGACAATCTGATTACCCCCGATCTACTAGTTTGACTTATGTAGTTGACCTAACTCACAGTCATTGCAGAGTATTTTGTAAATTATATTATTTTGTCTAATAGGGTCAACCGACAGGGTCCTTTAACCTACAGAGCTTGTCCTAGCTGAGTGAGTTTGTAGGTTTGAATGCCACCACTCTAATTCCTGCTCTATTGAGAATCCTACGTAGGGAATGTCTGAGAAGTCCCCTGCTTATATGGTAAAACTGCTGTAGATGCCTTATATTCTCTCTTATTTATGTTATCATTATTAGTTTCCCTACTATTTTTATTTTGCTTTTCACTTTTTCTGATCTTCCTAGTGAATTTCATAGGATAGTTAGTTATTTGACACCAACGCTACTTCTTCTTCTTCTTCTGTCTGTTTTATTTCATCATTTAGGTCTTTTCTTGTACTACTTGGTGCTACTGCTCGGTTTGTTAGACATTTAAGTCAACTAAGCCTGCCTTAACAGATAACTACGGATGAGATGAATTAAAGTTTATCAGCAGAATGCGTTGGTGTTTTATAAACACTTGTGTGCAGTTTAGCCTCTTCTATTCGTTTTATTTTACACTCTAACATCACAGCTAATTCTCCTTGTTTATTTTGCGATTCAAATGTGAATTTTATTCCCTCTGCTAGTGAGTTTATATGTGTCAAGAAGCTAGAGGGAGATATGTTGTGTTTTTAACACTGTGTGTGAAAGTGTCATCCACATATCTCCACCATAGTTTTGAAGTAGGATAAAGTGAATGTATTAAGAGCGTTTAATTAAAATTTAATTGGTGGATGTTGACTAGCAGTAGAATCCAGTCCAGGATAACGCGGATTTCGTCCTATTTGCAACTCGTCAGTTTGCTGGATGTACCTGCATTCCTCAGTGAGTCAGTGATGATGTTCCCACCACGGAGGCTCTGACCCAGTGCCCATAGTTTCAAACGCCAAAGTGTCAACGGGAAAATCTAAAATTCAATTGAATAATTAATATGAACCGTTGCACAAGAGGTGGGGTGGCTCTCGTGGCCCAAGTCGTCTAGTGGATAACGCTTTGGCTGGTGTTTGAAACTATGGGCATTGGGTTTTTAGCCTCCGTGGTGGGAACATCATCACTGACTCACTGGGAAATGCAGGTACATCCAGCCGACTGACGAGTCCGAAATAGGACGAAATGGGCGTTATCCTGGACTGGATTCCACTGCTAGTCACCATCCACCAATTCAATTCTAAGTCAACATTAAGCCACATAATAAATCTGCATTACTGCTAACTTTTCTGGGGTGTATAGCCCAAGTCCTCCATAAGGTCTTGGCTTGTTGTTATCTCTATTGTCAGTGAAATACCCGACTGACTGACTGACTGACTTCCACATGGTGTTTATTTATTGCACAGCGCACTTCTCTCCTGTTTTACTTTTGTTCTGTTACAAAATGTAAATTGTCATCTGTTAAAGTTAGAATTGTTGTTGTTGTTGTTGTTTTAAATTCCTTGTTTTATCCTAAAGTTGCTTTAGAAATGATAATTAGTTGATTTTAGTAATTGACATAAATGTCATTAACATTTTACAGAACCGTGGAGGAAAATCTTTGGGTCGCACCACAGAAGACCTATTTGACGAGGTCCCTAACCAAGATTCTATGCGTTTACCTGAGCCATTGAATACGCACAGAATTACCAGTAAGTTGATTGTTCTCCTCCACACAAATAAAAGTCTGTTGTTGCTGCTGCTAAGGTCAATCAATTAGTTCATATTGTGGTTATACTGACGTTTACACACACTGTGGTGGTTGGTTGCAGTTTGTTTGTCTTCCGTAGATTGATTGACCATTATTAATGACCATAGTGACTCTGGCATTGTGTTGTTTTTTGAGGCGATCGGAAACAGATTTGTGTGTGTGTGAGAAGAGAGCATGTGTGTTATCTGAATTTGAAAATAAAAACACCGTTTATTTGTAATGACAGTTTAATCAGTCTGGAACTGGATCGTTCATTCATTGAGTATTTTATGAACGCGCTTCACTTAACTCACTAACTAGAAGTATGGGAGATGAGATTAGAAGTATCCATCCATTCCAATCATTAGGCTTTTGAAGAATAAGTGTATACTAATAGGAATGACCATGATAGTAAGATTAGACTATGGGTTGTTATTGTCTCAACGTGTGAAACACAAAGTGAGGAGGAGGCGGCGGGTTGTAGAGGAATCTGTGCTACGGTGCATTGATTTAGTATGCGTGACACTGTTACAATAGACATTGAAGATGGGGTGAAGGCAGATCTCTTCTTATAAGTCAGGCGAAAATTTTGATCCAACAGACAACGAATGGTTCTGAAATAGTTCATTACTGACCTCACCCTATAGAGTGGGGGGGGGGTGTCATCAGTCTATAACAGACTTACACACCTGTTTTAAACTTAAAGGAAGTAATAGTTGTGCCATATGTAATGTTTATGTAATCACCGTGTTTCACAATTCACCGTGTTAGCAATTTTTCATTGAGATCCTCTGTTCCCTTTGGTTAGACACATTGTTAATTGTGAGTTGTGGTGCAGCAGTGTCGCCCTGCATTTCTCAGAGGAGGAGAGGATTTGTTGACAACGGCATCTTTTCCATAAAAGGAAAACCCACCTTATTTACAGTATGCTTTTATTCAATCAAACGGGTGTACAAAGTTTAGTTGAACTGGTATGAGTGAACATATCTGGTCAATGTTCGTCAATGTTCTTTATCAGGCCGAGTGTGTGACTCATCGAGCCAGTTGAAAGCACTTGGTTTAGCATTATTACAGATTGTTTCTTTGAGAAAGAAAGAAAGAAAGGAGAAATGATTTCTAATAGTCCTATCGAAATTTATTGAAGGGACTAAGTTGTTTTAAATGATCGAAAAAGCCACCAAAAACATGCTCTACCATAGGCGCCTCAACATTGCACAAGTGATAACGTCACATTCCGTGTTGTGTGTGTGTGTGGATGCATACATTGGCAGGAGGAGTAATGGTGCCTTGCTTGTATGTAAGGGTGAGAGAACATACTTACATATACCTAAATGGCTTGAAAAATAGTTGAACTGTGAAACCTCGATAGATGTACGTGACTGATAACCGATTGAAATGTATATATATATATATATGCTTGTTTAAGTTGACGTCATTCGTCTCCCATTTTAGATGGGCTGTCATCACCGACGCCATCGGAAGGTTCGTTGCATTCAGTGTGTCGTCAGCTGCGTATTGCAACTCCAAGATCATCAGTGTTCGAAGGATGGACTATTATTCTTACTGGTGGTGGTGGTGCTAGAAGTGAGTTTATAGGGTCGTTTCTACCAATCTACTCGTCGATGTTTACTTTGCATTAGCGGACACATTTTTTTCTAAATTCCTATAGCCTAAAGTAGTAGGCACTTATAAAAGTCGTGGAAAATACCCATCGGAACATTAGATGATTGAAAAGAACAAGAAGTTCAGCAACGATGGCGATCTTTTCGGAGATTTCATTCTCAAAAGCAGCTGTGCAATCGCATTTGTATAGATTAGTTTGCATGGATACAGTTATTATATGTTCAATTCCACATAGTAACTAAGGTGGTAATAATTTTCCAATTTGATATTAAAGTTTGAAGGTACGAATATAGAAGATTACAAGGGGCTTAGAGATAAGATTGCGTAGGATTAGAAAACAGTTACAACGTGTGCAAAATTAATATTTGATAACTGGATAAATAATTTTAAAGGCGAATAAATTGTGATAGTTATTTTCAACTTGAAATGAATTACGAGAAGCTTAGAGACAAAAGTTACGCAGGTATAGAAGGAATTACAGGTATGAACAAAATGAGCATGGAAACAAATTGAAAATTTTCAACTTGAAATGTAAGTTAGGAGGTGTGTGTGAATATAGATTACAAGAGGCATAGAAACAACAACAAAAATTACACCGGATTAGAATATAATTTTAAAATGGTTGTTCTAAACGGGATTACAAGAGTGATCAGGAGGAGCATGGAAACAAACTTAAAATAACTGATTTTATAACTGAAAAAATTGGGATGAATTGAATGAAGACAAAGAGAGAAAATTACACACAGAGAGAGAGAGAGCAAAACAACGAAAAAAAAACTGAAGGCCAAGGGAACATACCGAACTAGGTTCGTGGTAGTTGTAAAGGCTGGACTAGTTTCTTTTTAACACATAGCCCTGGCTTTTCGATGCATTTGGCGAGGGCTTCCCGATTACAAACAAGTCGGAAACACACTGACTGCCTTTGGTAGATTTTTGTTTACTTTGTAAATGACTCTGAATGATGAGTCAGTTGAGATTGTGTGACAGGTATTGACGAGATGTTCAGTTTTGCGCTTCTGACTGAACCAGTGCCTCCTCTTTTTGGAGCCATGCTGGATGATTTTCTCTAAGACGTTTTGATAAGACATGCATAGAACCACGTATGTACCTAGTTCCGCAAGATCACGTGAACTAATATATGCACATTGAAGTCGTCATATGTGGAAGTCTGTCCTTCCCGTTGGTCCGAAGTAGTGGGCGGCTAGAGAATATCACTCTTAGAGTTGCTGCCTTATAAAAGTGGTGATATTTTTGAGTAACTACAGCGCAGTCAGCTAATTTGTTAACACCACCTAGGTGGATCATTTGTTGTTCACGTGACGATTTTATTGAACAACCTATTGTTACACCATCAAAGGTTCGGGGTCGTTACGTTAAGTTAGGTACCTGTGGCAACTGAACTTTCAGGTGGGTTTTGTCTGAGAGATCATACTGCTCATTGGCCTTTAAGTGTTAGGCTAAACCTGAGATAGACCTCAAAATAACCACACTTAGTAAAGTCTTCACCGCGTTATAACCTTAGCAGTCCACTCTATCTAACGTGTAAGTACTGACGAACGGAATTAGAGTAAAAAGACTTGAGACGCGGAAAGTGTGTCTGGGGACGTAGTTTTATTTTACACAAATGAAATATCAAATTTAATAAATATAAAGGTGTTATACAACGTATCTGTGGTTTAGCTTAGTAGTAGGCTTGGAGAGTGCGCTGAATGAAAGCACAACAAGAGGAGAGAGCGAACCTAGTATGTACAGGAGAGTCAGAAATCAAAAGATGAAGTAGCGCCAAAAAGTGAGTGGGTGCGTTGGAACAGAAGTTCAAAGGTTCAATTTACACTACAGACCCGAGACTTTATCAAGTATGACTCAGAATTTAAAAAAACTTGCGGTGACCTTGCTGTATTTTCGCCGTTTTTTATCCTTTTGTAAAAGCGATATGAAATGTAATAAATGAGATGCTTTGATGATGTTTTAGATACGCTTTAGTACGCTTACGTGGGTTTTTTTTCGCGGAAATTTACCACTTTCTTTTTTTTCATAGGTAATAATAGTTCAACGGCGGATTCCGTTGATGTCAGTCTTATAGAACAATTGGTACTTGCTTGTGGTGGAGAAATTGCGGTGGAGATAACACCGTCTTTTCTCGATAGACAACGACAGCAAAATCGGCATATAGCCTTAGTTTCAACAGAATGCTGTCGTACAACAGTATACTTGCAAGCGCTTGCCACGCTGGGCAGTATCCCAATACTCCGCACTGAATGGCTTCTGGATGCATGTCGAGAAGATGTGATGACATCAAGTGAAGAGTGTCGTAATTGGCCTCTCCACTTATTGCTCACATATCCTGGGCGCTATGAATTGCCCAGGGGATTCATATCTGGATCCTTGGAACCAGTTAGTTGGTGAGTTTTGATCATTTTTTGGATCAATAATATTGATGCGTAAAAGTTTTTTTATAAACCTGGAAACTAATGTTTCTTATTTAACATTACACATACACTAATATATGTGTAAAACTTGGGCACTGTGGTGGTAGTAAGTAATTCCATATTAGTTTGTTTATTAGGTATATCACACGGTCAGTGAAACAGTATTAGTATTAACTGGATGACAAAGTTCCGAACATAATTCACTATTGTTCATGATCATTTCATCAATTATAATCACACGACTTCGAAACTTGAGTTTCATGGTTTTCTATGTCCTCTCCTATTTGTCGTCGTAGGCGTGGTAGTAGAACTTTCTAGATATCTGTGTGGACAGGTGTTGAATCATTCCTGTTACATGTATTTGCAGTTGATTCGATAAACAAATCTTCTGTTATCAATCTCTCCCTCCCTCTATTCACCCTGTGATATTAGATTTCAAAACTGTCATCATATACCATCCAGCCTATTGTATGGTTGTGTGTATTTGCATGTAGTGCTTGCGATAGTTGCTGAGCTATTCTCTAGATTTCTTATTCGGGTCAACTAATCTAGATTTTGCTAGGTTTTTATGTTCAGCTAGTCTGACTCACTGCCACTGTTCTACTACTTTGACCTATGTATTTGACCTGACAATCATAGCAGACAGGATATTAGATCCTTTAACCGGCAAAGCTTGTTTCTAATTGAGTTTGAATTCCAGTCACTTTTATTCCTGCGAATACGTGTAATAGGGATGATTCAACACCTGTCCAGCCAGATATCTGGAAAATTCTACTACCACGCCTACGACGACAAATAGGAGAGGACAAGGAAAACTATAAAACTCAAGTTTCGAAGTCGTGTGATTATAATTGATGAAATGATTATGAACAATAAAGAATTGTGTTCGGAACTTTGTCATCCAGTAAATACTAATACTGTTTCACTGACTGTGTGATATACCTAATAAACAAATTAATATGGAATTGCACATACACGTTTTGCTAAGGAATGCTTGTGAACCCTCCGTCTTGACCTTTTTTTGAAACAGTTTTGTTAGCTTCTTGATATCACTTCAGGTGGCTAAATTAGTTTCAAATAACCCTGAAAGATTGTGCTGTTTTTTTTTATAGTGATATAATGATAAGTCGATGCTTCCTAGCTTCTATTAATATTCACCTGTAACAGCAGTGTGTTGCTAACTGGTTTCTTCAGTGTTTCATTTATCCTCTTCGGTGGTGTACAGATAGGCAGGTGGAGATTGTCGATTTATTCTTCGGTGTGTGTGTGTGTGTGTTACAGACTATTATGATTATTTTGATTGTGGACACGGATTGACACTCATAATCTTGATATCCCTGATTTCTTTTACGATGCTTTTAAATAAATCATTGAAAAAGAGATTCTCTTTAGAGTAGCATTATACTGCACATGTTTTCTGTAATAATAATAATAATAATAATAAGGAATATTTGTCTGCAAACATGTATTCTCCTTAGTAGTTGTGTGTAACGACAGAAGACCAAAGTCACGCAACAGATCGTCTATTTAAGAAATCAACACATTTTTATCGATTTTCTTGTACATTATTATTATAGATTCTTGTTAGCAGACAAACACAGTCTTCTGATTGATGGTTGTTTCTCACTGAACGTTAGTTAATCTTTCATCTCTTTGTGGCTGTTTCTTCAAGGTCAGATCATCTGTGTATCTGCTAACTGTATCCGCCTACGCAAACAAAGTCTTCTGTGATTGGTTGTTGACTCGGTCTTTGTTCTTGTTCTTTTCTCATGAGCAATATTTGGGGACATAAACATTGACGTAAATTACTGTCTACTAATTTTGGCCTAGCAGACAACTCTCACCACAGTAGTACTTTAAATTTTATATTTTTTGGTTTAAAGAGTGTTTGAAGGGGTTGCATATTGCTTTGAAATTGCTCTGAAAGCTATTTATTTTGAATAGATCAATGACAAACAACTCAAGCATCAGATGAGAATACAGCACACCTTCATTTTATTTAGGTCGGCATCTTCCCAACCACTGACAAATTGAATAATAGACGTTAACAGTTTTACTACAATTTTCAGATAACCTTTTAAGTACATTAGAGATAAAATGTGCAATAATAATAATAATAAACAGCCAATATGGTATTTGGATGAATTTTCTACGTTAAGTTAGTGAAATGTTTTAAATTGCTGCTATACTTATCAATGTAATATGACCAAAGTTTCTCGCATAAAGCAGCAATAAGCGGGAATCAACAACATATTGTGGTATATGTAAATTATAACATTATAAAAGTGTTAATGTGAACGAATGGAATCTGAACAAAGTGAATTGTGAGTTTAGCTCATTTGCTTAGATATCAAGCATATTGAGGCATAACGTTTTGGTAAATGGTGATGTGACTAAATAAGTAAGTAAGTAAGTAGCCTAAATGACTTCAGCGACTCAGGCAGGGATTGACTTGTTACCAGTGAATAATATCTAGTTGCTTTAGGATATGCAGATGATATATGTATATATATATATATATATATATAGTCCTGCTCCCCGGTGAAGACGCTGACAAAATAGACCTCGAGTCTTCTGAACACGTTGTTGAGCAGCAGTAATCTCCGAATGCAGCGGTCGGTGGGACGTGTTGACCACTTGACTTAATCAGGGAGTTGTATCAGCCAGCCCCAGCGGATTGTTGATTGAAGAAGTCTCAGCACGGATACACAAGCCTCATTATTCGATATATGCACCAGCTTATGCCATCTCTGGAATAGACGTGTGATATCTGGCTGACTGGCCGTCTACCAAAAGGGTGTTTGTACTGCTCAGGTGTTCGCTCTGTCGTCCTTTATGTCTGGCTGTAAGACATGGCCATTAAAAGTGGAAAACATGAAAATGTTGGCTAGCTGTCTTCGTATTCTTCTTCCAATGCATCTGCGTTTTGCAGCTATACAGTTGGTAGTAACGAAGGAATAACTAATATGTGTCGACTTTTGACTGAACCCTGACGAGTTTGCTGTTAAACACTTCATGCAATTCTCTTCCCATTAATAAACTTGAACAAAGCAAGAACAACAATTGTACCAGAAGATGATATGAGCTCATCTTTTATTATTATTTCGAGGATTCTTCTCAACTGGTTACCGGAAAGAGACAGTGGTGAATCTCGCACTGCACTTTTATGAGTCATTCTTTTTCCTGTTTAGAAAACTCTACTCTCTCATCTAAACATGACTCACACTACCTTGTTCTTTTCTTTCCTTTTTTCTATTGGCTATTAGATAAAACACTTTCTTTAGTTACGTAATCCACGTTTTTGTTATGCTCTTTCTAGCTAAACCTTGTTTCTATACATATATATATATATATATATATATACGCAACTCTGTTTTTTGTTCCCAAGCCTAATTGTCTAATTATTCTATAAATAGTCAGTGTGTCTGTAACTCTTAATTAGTTAAATCATTCCGGACTAATGTTACTTTTACTTCCTACCAACCAATTACTCCTTGTGACCGTGGAAAAGTATGTTCAAATCTTCAATGCGATTCATATCTTTTATCGTTCAGGTTGTAACCGAACTTGCTGTTGTTTGGTACACAGAAGTTAATCTGTCTGTATGTGTGAGAAGGCCTCCCCGCTGATTTCTTAATTCGTATGTTAATTCTCTCTCTGCAATATTGTTGTATTTATCGATTTATTTATTTGTTTTTCCCTATTTTGTTTGTTCTGCTCCGTTAAGCTATTTACTTATCTCGATTTATAATATATTCAGGTCGTCTATTTCTGTTCGCTATCGTTCATCTGCATACGCAACAACTCCGCCTCCGTCTCCTTCATTGTTTGCTTTATGTGAAAAATGGGCAAGCAGAGAAATCACTTTTTCCCTAGGTGCAATAGTTACCAATGATGGAGAAGTTTTTGGATCCACTTGGTTAAATATTCTATCGATTGCATGTGGATTGGTTCATGAAACAGCAGAAGGTGTTAGTTGTTCGTCGCCTAGTCGAATTCCAATAATCCCTGTATCTGAGGCAGGCGGACAGCTTTCAATGATGTTTCCGATAACCAGATGTAATTATGGATGTCAATATGTTGAAAAAAAAGTAAATTTTGTTCTAGTCGACGAAACCGATGTAAGTGTTCAGTGTAGTGACACACGGTTATTTGCCTATCATCATCATCATGTATTTCACGCATGTCTAATGAACATTAGGTTGACCTATATTTATTACCTAATTAATTTTTCTACTCATAATCATATATATTACACTTTAGTATTTCCACTTACTGTCAAACTTTAACACACGTAGAAAATCTGGTTTTTGTTCTTGTCTATTGTAATTCATCTATATTCATAAGCTGGATGCTGACGTCACAGGGTACCCGGATAAGCGCAGGTGGTACATACTATTCGAACTTCGAGATGGAGAGGATAATCGAAACACTTCACTGGGATCTTGAATGAGGGTCTCCGAAATACAGCAGACATCGATAGCGAGGCTTTCCAATGTTCTTACCAACCCTGCCTATTGTCCGACTTGCATCAGCGTCCGAACATTGTAGGTGGCCAGCTTGAAGGCGGCACGTGGTTTCAGGATATCTGTGTTAGATTTGACATCGCATTGGGGACAACCACTTTGAAGGCTACTTACTCACTAACATCTCGAAATGGCACAGATAGGCTGGGAATCGAGACAAAGGCGAAACGCTATCGAAGATGAAGAAGTCAAGGTTAGCAAAGGTAAAATACAGGAGTGTATGTAAAAAAATATAAAAAGTAAAGTTGGAAAGACATAAGTTACTTGCGACATCATTATTGCTTGAAAGCATTGTTACGAGCACATGATAAGTTTCACTGATAGTTTGTTGCTTCATTTCATTTATTGTGTGAGGGCTGAAATACTTGCTGTCCGAGGCGCCCAGACCGAAGCAGGTGGTTTTCTTAAGGGACCACCCCTCCGAGCCTTTGACTTGGAGTCTAATCCGCAAGGCAGCGGAGCAGCGTCAGGAGCTGCATTCCCATGGTTTCCGGTGACCAATATGGGTTCATGCTCCATTTGATCCGATTGGATTCTGTAGCCCATATACCCCATGGCAACTGCTTTTAGTCTAACCGCTATCCAAACAACTTTCGTGACATGGTTGGACCTGCAGGGATATGAGTCCCAGCCAGTTTAGCTTTTAGGGTCAGTGCAGTATTCAAGCCCCCCGACCACCACGGCAAGGTAGCAGTTGTCGGCCGGGTTAACACACGTGGGAAAACTGGTTGTTGTCTTTGTTGTTATTGTTGTCTATTGTGTAATTCATATATATTCTCATTTATCTGTTTATACATATTTATTTTTATTTTGTAGGTCACTCTATCGGAGTTGGCATACATGCGAACATTACCTGTCGTACTCGTCACATCCGAGTATTTCATTCAGTCATTAATCCGTGGATATTTAGAAAATCCAAAGTCTTCATCATGTTTCTCACCGAATGCTCATAGACACGAAGTTTGAATCGCATTTTTATAATAGTAACAATAATACGTACAGTTATTATTAGTATAGTGGTAATCCATTACACAGTCTTTCAATTTCGGTTTGCTCATTTTTGGGCATTTAGTCTACCTTATATGAAGAAATCGTCGCCTTTATTATTTATAAGAAACTTGATTTTGTTATTATTATTATTATTATCATCTCACATTATTTATAATTGTACACCGTAGTTGTGGTTGTTGTTGTTGTTTGATTTGTGAACTTCGTCTTTTTCATTCCCCTCTCTGTTGTGTACTGTCAGTCGATTGCTGTGGTTGTTGTTGTTGTGTATATCCAACTTATCTCGGCTAAGTAACAGTGTCAAACCGTCGTAGTATTGTTGTTTCTTGTATAGCTTGCCAGCTTGTAACGTGGACACTACTATTATGTATATATGTTATATGTGTATATCTGTATTGAATATTCCCATATTTTTTTCAGAAGAAAAATATATTTAGAACGAACAATTGTGGTTTCAATAAATTCTTCCTTCTTCAGGCTGCTCTACAATTATAAATCCATTAATTAATTTAAGCATACAATAGCCAGCCAGTCAGTCAGTCAGTAAAGGCAAATTAGAATCATATGAGAAAGTGTATTGTGGAACAAGTATAAGTAAGACGGATGGGATGGAACAATAGTCAGTTAGTTTTATTTAATATGCATGGTCACTGAGAACATGGGACAAAATGAGATGCAGTAATTTAATTGAATGATGTGTGTGTGTGCAAAATTTTCTGCTAAACCGTTAGACTGAGAATGACGTGGTGCTGTGTACAGATGACTACAACCTATATGTTTAAGCCAATCATTGAAGTTCTTCTCAGTGAAATGAGTACCATTGTCAGTATCTAAGACATCTGGAATTCCTTCTCGACTAAAAATCTTTCTCAACGCTCTGTGAGTGAATTTTGCATTAGGAGTGTCTGTAATTATGACTTCTGGCCATCTAGAATAAGAATCCACAATAATTAAAGCACAGTATGAATTTAAGAATGGACCACAGTAATCTGCATGAATACGCTGTCAAACCTCACAAGACGTAGGCCACGGTTTCCACGACGACTTCCCATAGGACATTTTATGCAAACAGCTGGAACAGCTCTTCGATCTTTTGTTAATGTCAGCATCAATTTCCGGCCACCAACATGTTAGACGTGCTAATGATTCCATCTTATCAGCTCCCAGATGCGCAGAATGAAGATCATCCAAAATCGCAGATCTTAATGTCGGAGGAATAATAATTCTGTCATTCAGACATAGAAATCCTTCAGGATGGACTGAAATCTCATCTCTTCGCTTATAAAAGTCCGGAAATCTTCGCTTACACTGAATATTCCAACCTCTTTTTGTTGCATTTATAATGCATCCGTAATATTTCCGAGTATCATTTATAAGTCGAACTCTATCCACAGGTAACGGCTGGACTAACAAACAATCAGTGTCATTAGCAGAATTTTCAAATAATGAATAGCGAGATAAGAAGGCTGCATGAGGTTTATCCTTAGCCGATCTGTGGTCAATAGTGTAATCATATGCACTTAGTTCTAAACTCCATCTTTGAACCATAGCAGCAGATGATCTGTTCAAAGATTTTTCTGGATTGTAAATGAATTTCAAAGCCTGATGATCAGTAACTATGTGAAACTTAGTACCAAAGAGATACTTGTGCAAGCGTCTTAATGCCCTTACAACTGCTAGAGCCTCTTTCTGGGTTTGTGAGTACCCTTGTTCACTCTTACTAAGACGTCTGGAAATACAAATAACAGGTTGTCCACTTTGCTCAAGCACTGCAGCTGTACCCGTAGGAGAAACATCTTTAGTGAGAACGGACTTACCTTTCGATAAAAAAGGTCTTAAGAAAGCTTGTTTATTAAGAAACTCCAAAGTTTTTCGCAAGATATCTTCATGTTGTTGTTCCCACTTAAATTGTTTACTGGAGACAATATCAAAAAGTGGAGATAACAGTTGAGTGAAATTGGGAATGAATCTGGAGTAAAACTGAAGAGCACCAATCCATGATTTAAACGACGACATATTACTGTGTGACGGTGCTTGAATTAGAGGTGCCAAACGGCTAGCATCACGTCTGAAACCCTCAGAATCTACTGTGTATCCCAAGCATGATACAGACGACAAAGTAAAATGACATTTAATAATATTAAAAGCTTTATTCCAAACAGTATTTGTGGTACAGGTAGGGAATTTTCAGCGTGCATCACAATATTGCATCTAATTACCTCATAAATTTTTGTAAGATTTTAAAAATAAAAAGTAACAACATCAAAAAGAGAAATAAAAAGAGAGCAGCATTGCATTCACATATTAAAACAATGCACCACAGGATATGAAATATAAAATTAGTGTCTATTAGCATATGTGAGCAACAATATAATAGTAACAAAGAAAGGACAACAATGGCTAATGGGAACTATTTGTTAGAGTGCCGCAGTAAGTTGATCGTGTCATACCTAACAATTTTCTCATCACATAATAGCTGTGACAGATAAGGTATTGTGGAGTTTTTGTACTTGGTAGTCCTAGCATATAGCGTCCTATAGTTGCTACTAGTTCTACCAGATGAAATGCAAGGAGAGAGCTGCGTATAGAGAGGGTGCTCGGGGTCTCACAATATAGAATTCGCTAGTTTCTTACATGAAATTATATGTCTATCCACAATGGTGTTAACCAGTCGGTTTAACGATATCCCACTTCCTCTACTAACAGATTTTAGTGCCCTACGCAGCAAAGCAAAGACGTTCTTAAGTAGTCCAGGAAAGAATATTGAGAAGGAGTAAAGAGCGATGGTTAAAATACAAGAATTGACAAAATGAAAAAGCAAAGACTGCTTTATAACAGACTGCCTTAACTTCCTAAGGTAGACCGTGAAGCGAAACATCCTTCTAGTAACTAGCAAGATGTGAGAGGACCAGGAAAGATCGGAGGAAATACTCAGTCCAAGGTACTTGACATTAGATGTAGTTTCAACCTCTATGCCGTCAATGATAGTGGGACCATGTGAGCTAGCTAGTTGTTGTAGGTCACGTTTTCGTCTGAAAGTGAAATTTACTACCTGACATTTAGATGGATTCAGCTTAAGACCGTTTGAAGAGGACCACTGACTAATTTCCGAGAGAAAGTTATTTAATTTGGAACAGTCTGACTGAGAGTTGACAGGCATGGAGACAGAGAGGTCATCAGCATACTTGACAAAAGTGGCTACATCACAATGGGGCAAGTCATGTAAGAAAAAAGAAAACAGAAAAGGAGAAAGAACAGCACCTTGAGGAACACCAGATAAAGTAAGTGAGGTAGTGGAGGACTTTCCATTGTAGACGGTGTACTGCTTCCTATCAGAAAAATAGGAATGCAACCACTTATTTGTCCAGATCTCACTCTGTGTTGCAGCAAGCTTACTTAGCAAGAGAGACCTAGGAACAGAGTCAAATGCAGATGTGTAATCAAGGAAGGCACACCGAACATATTTGGCTCCTCTATCTAAACTAGAGACTATATTATGATATAGAACAACAGCGGCATCTAAGGTACACCTACTATGTTTATAAGCAAACTGGTTGGGGTCATTAGAAGGCTTTAAGGAGGGTTCAAGATTAAGTAAAATAAGTCTTTCCATAACTTTTAAAAAAGGTGAGGTAGTAGCAATTTAGATGGATTAACAAGAACATTTTTCTCACAGAAACGCCTGAACAGTTTTAAAAGACGTTCATTATGCAATTCGATGGTCGGACCATGAACTATAATGTCGTCTTGGTAAGACTCAACACCATCTAATCCATCTATCATCTGATTTATTACTTTTTGAAATATTGCAGGTGAAACCTTTAAACCAAAAGGTAAGAACTTATACTTGAACAATCCAAATGGAGTATTAATGGTTGTTAATGCACGAGACGCTTCGTCAAGAGGAATTTGCAAATAAGCATCTTTTAGATCTATTTTGGAAAAGTATTTTGAGCCATGTAGCTTGTAGAGAATGTCTTCGCTTTCTAGCGTAGTGCAACTTTGCTGTAGTTTACAGTTTACAGTTTACGATTTATTTAGGATAGTAGGCTATATGCCTGTGTTAATCCTTTCGATTTGTTACACACAGGAGGTCCAATCTCGCCTTGAATGAATCAACGGATGGCGCTGATACGACGTGTTCCGGTAGGGAGTTCCAATGGTTCACAATTCGATGCGAAAAACGGATCTCCAGACGCAGACGATTCGACCGTGGTTTTTGAACCTAGAGGTGATGTCCTCGCAATTGGTTGGTGCTAGAAGGAAGAAATAAATTAGATAAATTAGCTCCAAAATCATTTCTTAGGATACGGTATGCTAGTATTAGGTCACCCCTAAGTCGTCTGTATGACAGTGGAAATAAACCCAGTCGACTTAACCTCTCCTCATATGAGAGGATTGAGAAACCCTTGATTAGCTTAGTTCCTACTCTTTGCACCCTTTCTAATAAGTCTATTTCGTATTTGAAACACGGGCTCGCTGACTGGATCCCATATTCCAAATGAGGTCTGATATAAGTCGGATATAATATACGAAATATTTCAGCGTCAAAATTCGCAAAAGCCTTGCGTATGGCCCATAATATTCGAAAACCCTTAGTGGTTGCAGCTCTACAGTTTGTTGCTGTTTTCAAGTCATGCTGCACAACCACTCCCAAGTCCTTGTACTCAGTGACCACTGGGAGAGTAATGCCATTCATTGGGTAATTGTGCACGTGACTATGAGATACATGCATAACTACACTCTTGCTTAAGTTAATCTCCAAGGCCCAGTGCTTACACCAATCACTTAACAAGTTTAAATCTTCCTGCAAAGCAAGTTGATCACTGTCATCGTGTAAAGCCCTCCATATCTTGATGTCATCAGCAAACAGTAAGCAGGATGACTTAACTACCGATGGAATCTCATTAACATAAATCAAGAAAAGAAGTGGGCCTAGAATTGTACCCTGAGGAACGCC